GCCAAAGACAACTTACAAGGTCAGTAGGAAAAGTCTGTGACTGTGGTGAGAGAGGAGCTAGGTCTCAGCTACAAGTCCCAAGCGTGAGCCTGGGGTGGCGGCTGCCTCCTGAGCTTCTGGCCCACAGACTAAGGGGGAATCGAGTGGCTGATCAGAGGGGGATTGCAGAGATCTCTTTGACAGTGCTGAGGCAGGAATCTCTTGCTTTGCCCGTGCCTGGATCTGGGTCACAGTTCTGAGGGGCAGTCCTAGGGCAAGGAGGAGTGCTGACATGGTAGAGAGGAAACACCTCACCCCTTATCATACCACCTTGGAAGAACTGAAAATTTACAGGTCCCTAGAAGTATCTCTGAAAACAGCTGTACAAACCCCCGAAGCTTAGGACAGTACATTCTCCATATTGGAAGCAGACTCTTACCTTAACAAAGAGTTTAAAACTCAAGTAATTGGCTGGGATCATGAGTAAGCAGCGCAAAAAATGTCAGACTATATTTTCTTACTTTGGTGACAAAGAAGATCAAAACATACAACCAGAAGAAGACAATGAAGCCAAAGCTCCTAAATCCAAAACCTCCAAAAAGAATGTGAATCAGTCCCAGGCCTTGGAAGAGCTCAAAAGGGATTTTGAGAAGCAAGTAAGAGAAGGAGAGGAAAAGCTGAGAGTTTTGCAAGAAAATCATGAAAAAACAAGTCAACAGCTTGCTAAAGGAGACCCAAAAAAATACTGAAGAAAATAACACCTTAAAAAATAGCCTAACCCAAATGGCAAAAGAGGTCCAAAAAGTCAATGAGGAGAAGAATGCCCTAAAAAGCAAAATTGGACAAATGGAAAAGGAAATCCAAAAGATTACTGAAGAAAATACTTCCTTAAAAATTAGAACAGAGCAATTGGAAGCTAGTGACTTTATGAGAAATCAAGACACTGTAAAACAAATCCAAAAGAATGAAAAATTAGAAATCAATGTGAAATATCTCATTGGAAAAACAACTGACCTGGAAAATAGATCCAGGAGAGAGAATTTTAATAGTATTGGACTATCTGAAAGCCATGATCAAAAAAAGAGCCTAGACATCATCTAGAGATCCCCAAAGGAAAACTCCTAGAAATATTGTAGCCAAATTCCAGAGTTCACACTTCAAGGAGAAAATACTACAAGCATCCAGAAAAAAACAATTCAAGTATTGTGGAAACACAATCAGGATAACATAAGATTTAGCAGCTTCTACATTAAGGGACCACAGGGCATGGAATATAATATTCCAGAGGGCAAAGGAGATAGGATTACAACCAAGAATCACCTACCCAGCAAAACTGAGGATAATCCTTCAAGGGGAAAACAGTCATTCAGTGAAATAGAGGACTTTCAAGCATTCTTGATGAAAAGAGCTGAAGAGAAAATTTGACTTTCAAATACAAGACTCAAGTGGAACATGAAGAGGTAAACAGGAAAGAGAAGTAATAAGAGACTTATTAAGGTTGAACTGTATACATGCCTGCATGAAAAGATGATATTTGTAACTCATGAGACCTTTGTCAGTATTAGGGTAGTTGGAGAATAAAAATTATATGTATGTATATATGGATAGATAGATAGACAGATAGATAGATAGACAGAGGGCACAGGGTGAGTTAAAGATGAAGGAGTCATATCTGGAGAATTAAATTAAGGGTGAGAGAGGATTATACTAGAAGGAGAAAGGGAGAGGAAGAATGGGGCAAATTATTTCACAAAAAAAAAACCAGAAAAGAAAAGGCTCTTACAGTGGAGGGGAAACGGAGGAAAGTGAGAGGGAATGAGTGAATCTTATTCTCACAGGATTTGACTTAAGGAGGGAATAACATACACATTCAATTGGGTATGGAAATCTGTCTTACCCTACAGAAAAATAGGGGGGGAAGGGGACAAGGGAGTAGGGGGATGATAGAGAGGAGGGCAAACTGGGAAAGTGGGTAATCAGAAGCAAATACTTCTGAGAAGGGCCAGGTTCAAAAGAAAGAATAGAATAAATGGGGGGAGCAGGATAGGATTAAGGGAAATAGAGTTAGTTTTTCACAGCATGTCTACTATGGAAGTGTTTTGCATAACTGCACACGTATAACCTATATTGAGTTGCTTGCCTTTTCAGTGAGGGGGGATGGGGAGGGAGGAAGGGAGAACATTTGGAACCCAAAGTTTTAAAAACACACATTTAAAAAAATTGTTTTCACATGCAACTGGGAAATAAGAAATACAGGAAATGGGGTACAGAAATCTATCCTGCCCTACAGGAAAATAGAAGGGGAAGGGGATAGGAGAAGGGGGGGAGAGATAGAAGGGAAGGCAGACTAGGGGAAGGGGTATTCAGAATGCATGCCATCTTGGGGTGGGGGGAGGGGTGAGATGGGGTGAAAATTTGGAACTCAAAATCTTGCGGAAGTAAATGCTGAAAACTAAAAATAAATAAATTTATTAATAAAAAATAATAAAATAAAATAAAATAAAAATGATTGCTGAGTTATAATCAGTAACTTTGATAGGCTTATTTCTTCTTAGCATGGTGGATCAATATATGATATCACTACTTCAAGACACCCTGGAGACAGGGGTGGAGAACCTGCAGCCTTGAAGCCACATGTGGCTTTATATACATATACATACACACACACACACACACACACACACACACACACACTTATGTCTAATGGTAGCCATCTCTAGGACGGGGTGGGAGAGTGTGTAGAAAAAAAGAGAAGAAAAAAATAAATTTACATGATAATTTTCTTGTAAATTTGAAAGGAATAGCAAGTTATGCTTAGTAGCTTTGCAATTTTATGTATAATTATCTTTTTTATTGTATTATGTTATAGAAATACTTATTTTATTCCATAAATATGTATTAATATCAAAAAGAAAAAAAAGAATATAAGCTCTTTGAGAGAAGAGACTATTTTTTGTATTTATAACCCCATTGCTTGAAACAAAGTAAATAAAATCAAAACTGAGTATACTGGCCGCACGCCGACCTTCTGCCAGCCGTGCGCCAGTACCTACTTCTCTTATAAGAAGCACACTACCAGAGTCTTACCCACACCTGGGTCTTCGGTCCTCAGCCGGATCACCACACAGAGACGAGCCATCGGGAGGTGCCAACACCAGAGCTTTATTCAGAGGCCAACACAGCAAACCATCATAGCAAGCCCAAGCAGCAAGGCCAGAGCAACAGGGCAGGAGCCAGGGGAGAGCGCACCTGTGATCTGACCACGCTTGTTCCTAAGTACCTACCTAGCCCCTCCTCCCCAGCCCGCTACTAGCCAATGATTGTAGGGTCAGATACCGGAAGGGGCTGTCTGAGTTTAGCACACCAAGGGGGAGGGAGTGACGTAGGAGGCCAGGATTGGATACAGGAAGGAGGCATCTGGGATTGACGCATAGACAAGAGTATGTGACCTAGGAAGTCAGGCTCAGACACCGGGAGGAGGGGTCTGGGTCAGTGCTGCACAAAGGGACCCAGGAAGTCAGGAAGGTCACAAGAGGCATCTGGGGATGATGTTGCATATAGGGAGGGGACTAAGCAGAGGGAACTCAGTCCTCTGCCATCCCACTCCCACGTGGCACCGCCCCTTGCCTCAGGAGCTCAAGCTCGGCTACTTCCTTGCACCCAGCTTATCTCATAGCACTGCCCAATTGCCTCAGGGCTTCTCCGATCCAGCCCATCCCAGTACACAGGACTCTGCCTACCACAGCCCCTGCCTCGACTTCCAAAATACCCAGATCCTACCCTACCCTTGCCACAGCGCTCAACCTGGTAGCTGCCAACATCAGACAGTCCCTCACACTGAGAGTTGTGTCAGCCCAATACATACCAAAAAGAGATACTGATATCATTGGGTAGCGTGGTCCATGCCAGCCCACAGCATGAGGACTATGAGTTACAACTTATATGTCACATTGCTTTCAAATAGGGTTACAATAAAGGGGCCATCTCCAGTTGTCCTGATCTATATCTGGCCACTGGACCCAGCTGGCTCTGGAGGACAGAGTGAGGCTGGTGACTTTGTACAGCCCTCCCTCACTTAAATCCAATTTACTTGCAAGTCATGCCATCACTTTCCTGATATCATGGTCCTCTTCGAGAACAAAGGACAAACAAATGACAGAGGAGACAAAGACAAAATCTTTCCTAAGCCATCACTGCTCTGACACTTATAAATCACGTGTTAGAGTACAATAACAACTTTTTCCACAATTACGGCTAGCACCCTATTTTATATTGTTTACAAATATAGTAAACATTAAAGACTTACTTTATGAAAACAAATGAAATATCTAGTTATAAAATCTTTTGAAAGAGACTTTCATTTTAACAAGATTTGAAAATATTGAAATGCTTGCATGCTAATTAAGACATATTAGGAATATTATTATGCTATAAGAAATGATGAGCAGGAGGACTTCAGAAAAATCTGGAAAGACTTATATGAAATGATGCTGAGTGAAGTGAGCAGAACCAGAAGAACACTGTATACAGTAAGAGCCACACTGTGTGATGACTAACTTTGTTAGACTTATCTCTTCTTAGCAATGCAAGGATCTAAGACAACTCCAAAAGACTCATGATGGAAAATGCTATCCACATTCTAGAAAAAGAACGTTGGAGTCTGAATGCAGATTGAAGCATATTATTTGCTCTTTCTCTTTTTTTGGTTTTTCTTTCTCGTGGTTTCTCCCATTGGTCCTAATTCTTCTTTACAACATGACTAATGTGAAAATAGGTTTAAAATAAATGTATATGTAGAGCTTATATCAAATTGAATGCTATCTTTGGGTATTGGGAAAGGAGGGATGGGGAGAAAACTTGGAACTCAAAATCTTATGGAAGTGAATGTTGAAAACTAAAAGTAATTAAATAATTTTTAAAAAGACATTAAAACACAATTAGAATATCATTTCTAATTTAATACACAACAGTAATGTGATCAATGGTAATTTTATGAACATTTGCATTTATATCAGTCTTACCTGAAAACAAGTATTTCTACTGTCCTGTTTATTAGCATTATGGGTCATATCTTTTAGATTTACAAAAAATTGTTGTTTCCTGTTAGGTTTTTCATTCACACTAAAAAAATTTTCTTTTTTGGCAGGTGAACTTTGATTTTCTGGTACTAGAATCTATTCAGAGAATTTGGAAAATAATACAAAATAATGTAAGGCTTACAGGTAGATTTTAAACAACAATAACTGGATTTTCAAACATTCATTTAACACACAAATTTAGATACAGCTTCACACATATTTATTAATGTTAATTGTTTTCCATTCCTATCTATCCAATTTTCTTATAATTCTCATAATTCTTATCATGAGAACATAAACAATGGCAAACAATATTAAGCTGTGCTTAGATAAATAATTAGCTTGACATTTGCACTTAACTTGTCAACTAAATTTACTGATAATTTCAGCAGAAAGATGTCAAACAAATCACTTGGATTTTTCTATACTAAACCGCCAGTTGTTTGATTCCTTCTACCTCACCCTCAACTGGTTGCCTGTCATCATACAGAAACGGCCTCAAAGTTTCCCTGTGGATATAGATAACAAGGAAAACCACACCAAAAAGGTGGGGTGGGATGGGTGAGGAAGAAGCTCAATGTTAAAAGGAGTGTTACACAATCTCACTGATGGAAACAACCTGATAGTTAAATTTTTTTTTTGGTAGTTGTAAACTAGTAAAATCCCTACCTGAACAGGAAACTCCCTCCTTCAACAAGATACTCATCAGTCTGTTTTCTCCTTGAAAACTTCTAGTGACAACTAACTCACTACTTCCCAAGACAGTCCATTTCCTCTTTTGGATACCTCTAACTTATTTGAAATTTTTTTGTTTGTTTGTTTGTTTTTTACCTACAAAGAATTGAAATCTGCCTCTATGAAACTTCTATTCATTGCTGCTGATTCTGTCCTCTAAGTCCAAGCAAAGCTTAATCCTTCTGAAATCCTGCAGTCTTTCAAATACCTGAAGATAACTTAACTTGCCCTACCCAAGTCTCCTCTACTCCATATTTAAGATTCCTCAGATCTTCCAATGTCAAATGGCATACTGTAGTCTCTAGTCTCCTTAACACTGCAGTTATCTTCTTCAAGACACTCACCAGTTTGACAATGCTCTTCCTAAAATATGTCAATCTGAATTGAGTACAATACTCCAGACCCGGTGTGAGGAATGGCTTCCTTGCTTTGAATCTTCTTTCTGTCAAAATGAAGACTAAGACTGCCTTCCACATCACATTGTTGAGTCATATTAAGTTTGCCATCCACTAAAGTCCATTATCCTCTTTCACCCAAAATTTGTCCAGTCACACTATTCTCATACTGTATTTGTATAGCTGATTTTTTTAAACTGTAGGACTTTATATTTACCTATATTGAATTTTAATGAGATTCATTCCATTATTATAGCTTGTCCAGAATTTTCAGGATCCTATTCTCATTCAATACATTAACTATTCCTCTCAGCTTTGTATTATTTACCAATTTGGTTATCATGATATACTTTCATCTAAGTTATTGATGAAAATGTTGAGTAATTCAGGGTCAAATACAGATTCCTGGGAAGCAGTATAGCATAATGGTATTCAATGGACTTGATACCAAGAGGACATGAGTACAAGTCCTAGTTCCAATATTTACTAGTTATCTGACTGGTCAAGTCACTTAATCTCTCTGAGTTTCAGATTCATTACCTATAAAATTGGGATAATAATGCATATTTTTCCTATAAGGCTTGTTTTGAAAATGTGAATTTGTTTCAACACAACTGATACATAGGGAACAATTTGAGTGTAATGTGAATTTTGAGTTTGCTTATACAGAATTTATTCTGGGAGAAATAGCAAAAATGCAGAAAACTGTACCACTTTACACGTCAAAAGCTGTAACCGTTCAGATTCCCACATCCCCCTTTTTCAGGGTAAAAACTTCATATTTATTGTATATCTTCTGGTGCAATAGGGGATGGGGACAGCTAGGTGGCACAGCGGATACAGCACCAGCCCTGAAGTCAGGAGGACCTGAGTTCAAATCCAGCCTTGGACCAACACTTGACACTTAATAGCTGTGTGACCCTGGGCAAGTCACTTAACCCCAATTGCCTAAAAACTAAAAAAAAAAAAAAAGAGAAGCTGTGGATAGAGAAGGGCTAGTCCAAAATTTTCTCTCCTTTCCACCATTCCCCCACCCAGCCCCTAGTTTGAGTCTGCTCATCGATCTAAAGACTTTGTCAGATAGGTCCCCTTGGAAACTCAGGTACAAGTGAGCAGCAGCCTAAGGTCTCTGACAGCCTGAGATCACAAACACTGCTACTACTTATTATAATAATTATTTATTTCTTAACCATTTAATATGTATAAAACTGCATTACTATCTTCGTTAAAATTCCTATTTTTGTGTCACTAATGAAGTCTTTGAGTGTTGTACCCCAATTCAATTTTTCTCATAGGCCCTGTGGTTTTATTGGATAATTTTGCATTGTACTTTTTGGGAACACATATATTACATTACAGCAGAAATGACAGTATTTGGACTACCAACCTTAGCCTCTGAAAACAAAAAGTTACTGTGAGGAAAATGCTCTGTAACATTAAAGCACTATATAAATGTGAATTATAATTACAATCAACATCCCTGCTCACTAGGTCCACTAAGAACTTCCCTCCAGTTTGACACTGATGTATTAATCTTTACTCTTTGTTTATGATTATTCTACTAGTTTTGAATTCACCTAACTGCACTATCTTTCAGCCTACAGATTCTATCTTATCTGTAAATATGTCAACCTTTTCATCTTATCCATGGGAAATCAAATTTTAAAGTTTTTATTGACATAAATTAGTTCTTTCATACTTTTACTGCCACATGAAGTTTTTGGTCTATTATGAAACCTTTTAAAACTTAAAATGATTTGGTCTATTCATGGGAAACTATTACCTTAATGCCTTGACTGCTATTCTTGCCCTGATGATCCCCAATTATGAATAACTAGTACTGTTCAATGGAGGCATAAAACTGTGCTGACTGGGTCTGCTCATTTTTATTCTATCTAAACTCTCCAGGGTACTTATTAATTTATATTTCTAGATTCCAAAGGAAAGGATCGTGTCCCTAAAAGGGACTAGGGAGAGACTGGAGTCTAAAAAGGAGAAATAAATTATAAAGATGAATTAGATGGCTTTGGATATATGGAGAAGTCCAGAGGCTAAATCTGTAGAGGTGAAATTTTGGTGTACTTGAAGAAGATGATATCTAGCTAAAAGAAAAGGAGGCTTTTATCTGGAGGACTCAATCTGAGGGAACAAAAAGGACTGAGGAAAAAGACCCAATGAGGCTTTACAAAGGAACGGACTAAGGAAAAAAGGCATTACTGTTGATGAGTAATGGCTCCCTGCTTAAGGGGGATGAGACAGTTATTTTTCAATTTGGTATGCTATTAGAAAGGGAGGTCTGTTGTTTTTTGATTAGAGAAAGGCAAATTAGAACAGCTCCGAAGCACTGCCTCACACCTATCAGAAATGACAAATGTTGGAGAGGTCGAGGGAAAAATAGGTATGCTAATGAACTCCTGGTGGAGCAGTGAACTGGTCCAAATTATTCTTTAGAATAATTTGGAACCAAGTGCAAAGGGCTACAAAATTCTTTGACCAAACAACACCACTACTAGGTCAGTGTCCCAAAGAGATCAAAGAAAAAGAAAAAGGATCTATATGTACAAAAATATTTATAGCAGCTCCTTTTGTGGTGGCAAAGAATTCAAAATCAGGGAGATACTCATCAACTGGGGACTGGCTGAATAAGTTGTTGGCATGTGATTGTGATGGAGCAGTATTGTGCTATAAGAAATGATGAGAGTGGAGTTCAAAAAATAAAGACCTACATGAACTGATGCAAAGTGAAGTGAGAAGAACTGGGAGATCACTGTGCCCAGTAATAGTAATGTTGTAATGATGATCTACTATGAAAAATCCGACCACTCTGATCAACACAATGATCCAATACAATTCCAAAGGATTCATGATGGAAAAAATAATATTCATCTCCAGAGAGAACTGATGAACTCTTAGAGCAAACTGAAGTATAATTTTCTCACTTTCTTTATTTTTCTTACTTTTTCTGAAATATGGTTGATATGGAAGTATGTTCTACATGATTTAACTTGCATAATTGATATCATATTGTTTGCCTTCTCAATGGGTGTGGGAGGGAGAGAAAGAATTTGGAATTTAAACTTTAAAAAGAAAAGAATGTTAAAAATAAACTTTTTTTAATTAAAAAAAAAAGAACTGATGTAGCAATTTCTGAAGGCAAAATAGAAAAGTCAAGACTCACAGGAGTAGGGAACCTGCAGCCTCAAAGCCACATGTTGCCTTCTAGGTCCTTGGGTGCAGCCTTTTGACTGAGTCCACGTTTTGCAGAACAAATTATTTTATTAAGGGGATTTGTTCTGTGAAGTTTGGATTCAATCAAGGTGCTGCATTTGAGGACCTAGAAGGCCACAAGTGACCTCAAGACCACAAGTTCTCCAGTCTTGGTGCAGAGAAATACAGCCTGATGGGAAACAAAGAGGAAAAAACAATTCTTACTTATAACAAGCTTACATTCTAATGGAAAATACAAATAAAAATAAAACATATAAAACATAAATGTAAAGCTAATAAATAGAAATATATACAAAGTAATCCAATATAAGGTAGTCTGAGAGGGAGGACACTAGGGGTTGGGAGAATCAGAATAGGCTTTATGCAGAATATGATATATGAACTGTGTCTTAAAGGGAAAAGAGGAACTCTATGAGGCAGAGGTAAGGATGGAGTGCATTTCAAATACATGAGATAATCAGTGCAAAGGAATGGAAACAGGAAATGGAGTGTCCTGTGTGAGGAACAATGATAAGGCCAATTTGCATGGATTACTCTGTGTGTGTGTGTGTGTGTGTGTGTGTGTGTGTGTGTGTGTGTGTGT